GTGTGTGTATGTTTGTGTGTTTTGTGTGTGTATGTTTGTGTGTATGTGTGTGTGTATGTTTGTGTGTTTTGTGTGTGTATGTGTGTGTGTTGTGTGTGTGTGTGTGTGTAGCTCACCTTAGGCTCGGCCGAGAAGCACCAGCGAAGAGTGACGCCAGAGGGAAGATTAACAGGAAGGAGATATCTATTGCCAGCGTTTACCCAAATCTGCAATGAATTCAATAAAACATAAATCATAAAATAAACAAACAAACAAACAAACAAACAAAAAGAGGAAAGAGACACAGGGAGAGAGAGAGAGAAAGAGAACGAAAGAAAGATATAGAGACACAGAGAGGAGATAGAGACATAGAGAGAGGACAAAAGAAGAGGATATAAAGAGAGAGAGAGAGAGAGAGAATGAAAGGAGATAGAAAGAGAGAGAGAGAGAACGAAAGAAGGAGATAGAGACCGAGAGACAAAGAGAGAGAGCGAAAGAAGGAGATAGAAAGAGAGAGAGAGAGAGAGAGAGAACGAAGGCAAAGAGACAGAGAGAGAGAGAGAGAACGAAAGAAGGAGATAGAAAGAGAGAGAGAGAACGAAAGCAAAGAGACAGAGAGAGAGAGAGAGCGCGAAAGAAGGAAATAGAAAGAGGGATAGAGAGAGAGAACGAAAGAAGGAGATAGAGACAGAGAGAGAGAGAGAGCGAAAGGAGATAGAAAGAGAGAGAGAGAGAGAGAGAACGAAAGAAAGAGATAGAGAGAGAGAGAGCGAAAGAAAGAGATAGAGACAGAGAGAGAGAGAACGAAATAAGGAGATAGAAAGAGAGAGAAAGAGATAATAAGAGAGAGAGAGAGAAAGAACGAAAGCAAAGAGACACAGAGTGAGAGAGAGCGAAAGAAGGAGATAGAAAGAGATAGAACGAAAGAAGGAGGTAGAGCCAGAGAGAGAGAGAACGAAATAAGGAGATAGAGACAGAGAGAGAGAGAGCGAAAGGAGATAGAAAGAGAGACAGAGAGAGAACGAAGGAAAGAGATAGAGACAGAGACAGAGAGAGAAAACGAAAGAAAGAGACAGAGACAGAGAGAGAGAGGACGAAAGAGACAGAGAGAGAGAAAGAGAACGAAAGAAGGCGATAGAATGAGAGATAGAGGGAACGAAAGAAAGAGACAGAGACAGGGAGAGAGAGAATGAAAGAAAGAGATAGAGACAGAGAGAGAGAACGAAAGAAGGAGATAATAAGAGAGAGAGAGAGAAAGAACGAAAGCAAAGAGACAGAGAGAGAGAGAGAGAGCGAAAGAAGGAGATAGAAAGAGAAAGAACGAAAGAAGGCAATAGAGACAGAGAGAGAGAGAACGAAAGGAGGTAATAAGAGAGAGAGAGAGAAAGAACGAAAGCAAAGAGAGAGAGAGAGAGAGACAGAGAGCGAAAGAAGGAGATAGAAAGAGAGAGAGAGAGAGAGAAAACGAAAGAAGGAGATAGAGACAGAGAGAGAGAGAACGAAATAAGGAGATAGAGACAGAGAGAGAGAGAACGAAAGAAAGAGGTAGAGACAGAGACCGAGAGGGAGAGAGAGCGAAAGGAGATAGAAAGAGAGAGAGAGAGAGAACGAAGGAAAGAGAAAGAGACAGAGAGAGAGAGAGAAAACGAAAGAAAGAGACAGAGACAGAGAGAGAGAGGACGAAAGAGACAGAGAGAGAGAAAGAGAACGAAAGAAGGCGATAGAAAGAGAGATAGAGGGAACGAAAGAAAGAGACAGAGACAGAGAGAGAGAGAATGAAAGAAAATAAGCAAACAAAATCAAGTGATATAAACATAGAAATGAGTAAGGACAATGTCATTTATAAGATAATAAATAACATATTAATGGATAAAAAGGACAATCCGACAATAGATAGGTTGTGAAATAATAATATTTGATAAAATACGATACAATAAGATGAAGAATAATACAGTAAGTCAAGAAAACTTGAGTTAATATAAAAGAGAAGAAAATAAAATCAGGTTTAATAATGGATACGAGACACAGATAAATTTTCAAATGTAATAAAGTAGATTAGTAAAATTAATTAATTAAATTCAGTTTGATAAGAGAGAGAGGGGGGGGGTAGAAAGAGAGAGAGAGAGTGAGAAAAAGAAAGAGAGAGTGAGAAAGAGAGAGAGAGAGAGAGAAAGAATGAAAAAGAGAGAGAGAGAATGACATAAAAAGAAAATGAGAGAGAATGAAAGAAAAGGAGACAGAAAGAAAAAGAGTCAGACAGACAGAGAGAGAATGAAAAAAAAGAGAAAGGAAAAAGAGAGAGAGAGAAAGAAAGAAAGAAAAAGATAAAGACTAACAGAGAGGGAATGAAAGAAAGAGAGGAAAAAGAAGAAAAAAGAAAGAGACAAACAGAGAGGGAATGAAAGAAAGAGAGGAAGAAGAAGAAGAAAGAAAGAGACAAACAGAGAAAGAATGAAAGAGAGACAGGAAGAAAGAAAGGAAAAACAGACCGAGAGAGAACGAAAGAAATAGAGACAGAAAGTCAGAAAGAAAGATATAGAGACAGAGACAGAAGCAACGAAAGGGAGATATAGAGATAGAGAGAGAGGGAGAACGAAAGGAAGAGAGACAAAAAGGCAGAAACAAAGAGAGTGAGAGAGATATTGAGAGAAAGAGAGAGCACGAAAGAAAGAGACAGAGACAGGGAGAACGAAAGAAAAAGAGACAGAAAAACAGAAAGAAAGAGAGGGAAAGCAAAAGAAAGAGACAGAGATAACGAAAGGGATAGAAAGAGAGAGAGACAGACCGAAAGAAAGAGATAAAGACAGAGTGAGAAAAAGAGAACGAAAGGAAGAGACAGAGACAGAGAGACAGAGATAACGAAAGGAATAGATAGAAAGAGAGAGAGAGAGAGAGAACGAAAGAAAGAGATAAAGACAGACAGAAAGAGAGAGAAAGAACGAAAGAAAGAGATAAAGACAGACAGAAAGAGAGAGAAACAAGGCAAGGAAGAGAGACCGAAAGGGCCTGACACCCGTTGACAGCCTTACGAATCTCACCTGCGTGTCAAGCAGAGGTTTTTCTCTCAGGTTTTCCACGGAGAGTAAGGCGCTCGAGGCTCTGTACTCGGGAGAAGCCTCAACGCCACTGATGCTGCCTGGATTAGCGAAGGATTCTCGAATCTCAGCTTCGTCTTCTTCGTCTTCTTCGTCTTCTTCTTCTTCTTCTTCTTCTTCTCTATCTTTAATTTCTTCTCCTTTGTCTCTATTCCCCGTCTTACTACTCTTGTTCTTCCTGTCATCCTCTGTGATGGTTTTTGGATCTGTTGGTTAAAATATCTTGGTAAGAAAAAATATATATTGAAATTCTTAGTTAATGTTTTTTTTTTTTTATTATTATTATTATTAATTGATTTATTTATTTCCAGACAAACGTTTCTTTTTATAAGAATTCTTTTATGTTTTTTTTTTTTTTTTCTTATTTTGGGAGGATTAAATATTCACATTTTATATTATAGTCATAATATTTATCAATTTGGTATGAAATATATTTATTGTAATTAAAATATGAGTTATTATTTTTAAATTATTTATCTTAATTAATCTATTTATCTTAATTAATCTAAATAAATTGCTTTTCAAAGATTTTGATTAAATTGCGTCGTTAATCCACATCAATTGATTTTTTTGTTTGTTTGTTTGTTTTATGTCTGAAGTTTATCATTCTATCTTTATCCTTTACCTTTATCTTTTATCTTTCTTTCTTTCTTTATCTTTATTCTCTTCTCTTCTCTTCTACTATGATATGTATTTCGTTGTTTTATTATTATTATTACTATTGTCTATCTGCCTGTCCGTCAGTAAGTCTGTGTCTATCTGTGTCTATCTGTCTGTCTGCATTTCCTCTTTCCCTTTCCAGTCTCCTTTCTCGCTCTCTCCCGCCCTCTTCGCTCCTCTCCTCTCCCTCCCTCACTTCCTTCCATCTCCCTTTCTCGCTCTCTCCCGCCCTCTTCGCTCCCTCTCCCTCACCCTCCCTCACTTTCCCTTTCCATCTCCCTTTCTCGCTCTCTCCCGCCCTCTTCGCTCCCTCTCCCTCACCCTCCCTCACTTTCCCTTTCCATCTCCCTTTCTCGCTCTCTCCCGCCCTCTTCGCTCCCTCATCATCTTCTTCCTTCTCTCGCTCTCTGACCCTCCCTCCCTCCATCTACCTCTCCCTCCCTCAACCTCCCTCTCCCTCTCCCTCTCCCTCCCTTTCCCTTCCTCCCTCCTTCCCTCTCCCTCCTTCCACTCCCTCTCTCTCTCTCTCACCTGCCTCTCCCTCCCTCCCTTTCCCTCCCTCTCTCTCCTTTCCTCTCGCTCTCCCTCTCCCTCCCTCCCTCACCCCTCCCTTCCTCCCTCCTTCTCATCCTCTCCCTCCCTCCCTCCCTTCCTATCTCTCTCTCTCCCACCCTCCCTCCCTCTCCTTCCCTCCCTCTCCCTCTCTCTCTCTCTCACCCTCCCTCCCTCCCTCTCCCCCTTCCCCCCTCCCTCTCCCCCTTCCCCCCTCCCTCACCCCCTTCCCTCCCTCCTTCCCCCTCCCGCTCTCCCTCCCTCCTTCCCATCCTCTTACCTGCCTCTCCCTCCCTCCTTCCCTCTCCCTCTTTCCCCCTCCCTCCCTCCTTCCCTCTCCCCCTCCCTCCTTCCCCATCTCCCCCTCTCCCTCCCTCACCCCCTTCCCTCCTTCCCTCCCTCCTTCCCATCCTCTCACCTGCCTCTCCCTCCCTCCTTCCCTCTCCCCCTCTCCCTCCCTCACCCCCTTCCCTCCTTCCCTCTCCCCCTCTCCCTCCCTCCCTCCCTCTCTCCCTCTCCCTCTCCCTCCCTCCCTCCCTCTCCCTCTCCCTCTCTCACCTGCCTCTCCCTCCGTCCTCCTCTTCCCCTTCCCTCCTTCCCTCTCCCCCTTTCCCTCTCCCTCCCTCTCCCTCTCCCTCCCTCCCTCCCTCTCCCCTCTCCCTCTCTCACCTGCCTCTCCCTCCGTCTTTCCCCCTCCCCCTTTCCCTCTCCCTC